ACACACACACACACACACACACACACACACACACACACACACACACCACACACACAAATACAGTGAAGCGTAAAACTGAAGTCCTTCGGTACCTTCTTAGAAACGGACACAAGTAAGTGCAGAAGGGCTTTTGGCCCGAGGCTTCCAGGCGAGCGGGCAGGCCCGGGAGAGGTGAAGCCGCCCCCCAACATTGGGGCGCTCCCACACCCCTCCCCAGGCAGGAAACGTCTGGATCTGCTCCCCTCAGGTAGCCCACGCGCCGACGCCGAGTCGGGCTGCAGCAAGGTGGCTCCCTCTCAGCTCCTCGGGGTGCGACCCCTCACGGCAAGACCAGAGGCAGCTGAGGGAGGCAGAAGCTTCAGGTTTACCTCAGCATTCCCGACCTGGACCCCCGAAACCTGCCCCCACCGGGTCTCCCGGGACTGGCGCGGCATAACGGCGGGGGAGCAGTTCGCCACACCTGGGCCAACGCCCGCCCTCACCTGGGCCGCAGCGCCGCGCCCGGCGGCCGCGCCAGGGGAGGAGCCTGCGGACGCCCGCGGCGTCCAGCGAGCCAGGTGAACACGCCTGCGCAATCGGACCGTAAACAAGCCCGCCCCTTCCCCTCGGCGCGGCTCCGGGGAGCCGGCTCGCGGGTGGGTGGGGCTAAGAGGAAGAGGAGGGGGCGGGAGCGCGAGAGCCAAGGACGGCGCCTGCGCAGTGGGCGTGATCCGGGCACTTAGGGCAGGATGAACGCTGCTTTCCAAGATGGCGACGGAGGGAGGAGGGAAGGAGATGAACGAGATTAAGACCCAATTCACTACCCGGGAAGGTCTGTACAAGCTGTTGCCGCATTCGGAGTACAGCCGGCCCAACCGAGTGCCCTTCAACTCGCAGGGATCCAACCCTGTCCGGGTCTCCTTCGTAAACCTCAACGACCAGTCTGGCAACGGCGACCGCCTCTGCTTCAATGTGGGCCGGGAGCTCTACTTCTATATCTACAAGGGGGTCCGCAAGGTACCGACCCGGGCGTCACCGGGGTCCGCCAGCGGCGTGGGCAGAGGCCGGGAGCAGGGCGGTGACAGCGGGAGCCAGGGTGACCGATAGGGGTGGCCGTCGCTCTTACTTTTGAGTGGGCCGGTAACTCCACTGGGGTGTTCCTGGGGAAAGGGGGTTCGGGAGTGAGGAGGGTGGGGGCGGTGGAGCGGGTCCGTGGGCTGCGGGGCTTCGGCTAGGAGGCCCCCGAAGGAGTGGGCTGCCTCCCCTCCGGGAGGGTCCGTAAGACTCTGACACGGCCCGGGAGCGGGCCTGCGAGTCCCCGGAAGAGGTGGGGTGGCCGTCTCGTCTGCCTTGAGTGCCTCTCTTCCCGGCAGCGTTGGGAATCGCCCTGGATTAGGGAACAGGGGCGCAGAGCGGCTTGGGAAAGTCTGTAAGGCGGAACCGGTGCTGGGAAGCGAGGACCGAGACTAGGTCAGAAGGGACCTGCTCGGCACGAAGGGCTACTCCACCTGCTGCCACACTGACACTTCCTAGGAGCCTCTCCTTCTGGTCCAAAAACACCCGAGGGAGGCTGGCTGTCACTGTCTCCGCCGCTGAGGGAAGCTGCTCTTGACAGATTGTTAAAGGGGATCATTAGTATGGGAAGGATAGAGTACTACAGTTGGGAGGTCGAAATGATGTTTTCGACGAACTAAGCTGTTTAGAGGGGTTCTGTGTGAGCGTGCCCAGATTAATCTAGTCCAACAAGTCAGACTCTGTCCCAAACAGGGAGGGATATGCCTTAAAAGCTTCTTTACAGGAGCCATCCTTCTTGGCGGGCGACTTAACAGTAATTTTGTGAAACATGTAATCATCCTTTAAAAATATCTCGTAAAAGCAGCAACTTATTAGAGCTTTTCTCTCATTGGCTACGTGACTATGTTCTCATTGAGAACGACTTACTTTGAGATTGTGGGTTTTGACTTGATTGTGGGAAGACTGAGGAAATTAATGCACCCCAAGCATCTTGACGTAGGAAAAGGTGATAATTTACAAATGTTCAGTCAGTGTGAAAATAAATTGTACTTTCTGAAGAGTGAACATTCCCTAGCACTCAATATATCCAGGTCCAGTACAGTGTTTTTGCTTGGGTATAAGAACTAGGAAAGTGGCAATGGTATCTAAATGTAGCAAGTTGTCTCATTCGTTCAAGGTGAAGCTTTTTTATTATCGTTTATGATAATAAGTGTACTTCTGTGTTTGGGATATGCTGTTAGAAGTTGCTGAAAGTAAATCCCTTGACTCCCCCGCCTTTTGGAATTGGGAAGGTGTGAAATAGTTTAGGAGGTGACACTTTTTACTCCTGTTCCCAGCTATGTCACTGATTGACTTATTGGGTGACCTCGGACAAGTTAGTTAATTTCTATTTACACCTTTTTAAAAAGAGAATATTGCAGTGCATATGTTTTAATTAATAATATAATGATTGTTATGAACTTTAAAATCCTGAAGCCCTCCGTAAATGCAGAACATAGTTAAACTAAGCGTAAAGAGTAACTGTCAGACAGGAAGCTGCCATCTTCGTATTGATACTAGGACTGAAAGGATCACCTTTTTCCCTGGAAATAAGGTTAGCATTTTAAGTTATTAAAATTTATGTAAAAATACAAAATGCTTGAAAACTAAATTCACTGACATTAGCGATTACTAATGGAGGCATTACTTTTTTCTTTTTTTTTTTTTTTTTTTTTTTAGTTTTCTTTTAAAGGTTATTACTTCTGAAGCATTCAAATGGCAAACCCTATCTGGATCTCTTGGCCCTGGCTTGCATCATAAAAACTGGGCTCTTGCCTGGAAGTATCCATACAATAAAAACAACCTCATTGCCGTCCAGTCGATTCTGACTCATAGCGACCCTATAGGACAGAGTAGGACTGCGCCACAGGGTTTCCAAGGAGTGGCTGGTGGATTCGAACTGCTGACCTTTTGGTTAGCAGCCTAAGCTCTTAACCATTGTGCCACCAGGGCTCCATCCATATGATAGTGCTGTCTTTTAGTGGGACACTTTATTCACTAAGAGAGCTTTTCAAAACTGCACCAAAAAATTGTTTTAGATAAGACAAATATTAAACATGTAAATTGCCTTTACCTGCATAATTTATTTGAACACTTTAATTTTTTTGGTAAATTTTTGTTTTTCATGTGGTGATACTTTGTAGAAACATTTGTATTAGATGGCAGACATTTCAGATCTCTTCTAGACATTGTAATTTTTTTTTTTTTTATGAATGAGTTTGCATTTATTGTTATTTCTGAATATAAGTGATTGTTTTTGTGTCTCTTTATTTTCTTATTTTGAAATACAGCAAATAATTTATCCTTAATCAGAAAACCAAGATTTATTTTTGGTGTTAGGAGTTATAAATCTGTTTTTGAAAGTTGGTTATTTTGACTTTTTTCTTTCATTTTTTTGTTTGAGGAACATAAAGTTTTACAACAATTATTCAGTTCATTCAGAGGGTCTTATTTGTTTTTTGTTTTTGTTTTTTTATTGTACATCAGGTGAAGGCTTACAGAACAAATAGTTTCTCATGAAACAGAAGTACACATGTTATTTTATGACATTGGTTAACAACCCCACAACATATCAACCCTCTAACTTCTCAACCTCTTTTTTTTTTGGTGAAAATACACATAGCCAAAGATACACCATTTCAAAAATTTCTACGTGCACAGTTCCGTGGCATTGACTACGCTCTTCGAATTGTGCTGTTATTCTCACTTAAGATGAAGGCTTACAGAACAAAATAGTTTCTAATTTAACAGTTACTACAAATGTTGCCCTATGACAGTGGTTAACAATCTCACAACACATCAACAATGTCCTTACTCAACCTTGGGTTCCCTATCAGCAGCTTCCTTGTCCCCTTCTGCTTTCTGGCCCTTGTCACTGGACTCCTGTATCTCATTAGTCTCGTTTGGTTTTACGGGGCTGTCCACTCCCAGGCTGAACGGTGAACCTCGGAGGTAACTTCACCACTGAGCTAAAAGGGTGTCTGGGGTCCATTCTCTCGGGGTTTCTCCAGTCTCCTTTAGGCCAGTAAATCTGGTCTTTTTTTTGTGAGTTAGAATTATGCTCTACATCCTTCTCCAGCTCTGTCCAGAACCCAGAGGGTCTTATTTGGATGAATAAATTCAAGTTAAATCTGGATGTAAAATAAGTGGAAAGTAGGTCTTTAAAAAAAATTTAAATCATGAACTGTGTGCTGCCATTCCTGAGAGAAAAAAAACTCTGCTGGGAGAATGGAGTAATGAGAAAGTCATCTAAAATCTAAGCAGAGGCCTGTAATGTTGGCCCTTCTTAAACATTTGCACGTCAGTTTCTAGAGCTGGAAGGGACCTTAGTACTTTTGTAGCCCCATCTCCTCAGAGAAAACCAAGGCTAGAGGGGTGATGCCAAACTGTGTTACCGTTGTTTCTCATGGCAAGGAAGATGAAGCACAGCTGACTCTAAAGAACTGCCTTAGTGAGAACAGACTGGTTATGCTTTTTGATCACAAGGATGGATATCATACATTCCAGGCGATTTGGAGTTTACCGCAGCATTTTGCGATAATAGTATCGCATTTAATCCCTACAGCAACCCTGTATGGTAGATGAAAGCATCTTTTCACAAAGCAGGAAGTTTGTAATGGGGTTTCTTGTGTGAGGAGATATAGTTTGTAAATTTATTTTGCTTAAATAAAGATAGCTTGAACATTGGTTTAATTCTGACACTAATTTCAATAAAGATTTGAGTGACTACTATAATAGTTATACTAGGCAAAATGATGTGGGGTATTCAAAGATGAGTGAGACCTTGGCCTGCCCCTTCGCACAAAGAACTTTCACTTTACTAACTTTCAAATATCTTTGTAGCATACTTTGCTTTCCTTTTTTCTTTTTTGGAAAGAGTGTTTCAGAATAAAGGTGCCAAACATAACTGGGCTTGTTTGACCACTCTCATTTTATGGAAACCTGTTTTTACATAAATGTTGAATGGCCTTCATTCAGATCTCAGCTTAAACATCACTTCCTCAGCAAATCCCTCTTTGAATTCTCTGACTAGATCAGTTTTCCCCTATTACATGTTCTTGTAGCGTCCTGTACTTTCCTAGCACTTTTCTTAATTTGTAATTCTTTGTGCAATTATCTGATTGTCTCCTCTATAAACAAAGCTCCCTCAGAATAGGGACTGTGTCTTTCCGGCTCTCACTGGATCCCCAGTGCCCAGAAGCATCCAGCATAGAGTAGGCCCTCACTGTGTGTGTGTTGAGGGACAGACTTAAGGATGCGTCCATGTCCATTTATGTCATACTTTAAAAAGATCTTCAGAAGCAATTCACTTTTTGGCCCCAAAGTGACAGTATTTTTAGTAGCTCACATCTTTTTAAAGATATTTCAAACTGTTGTTAGTAGGTGACAAATTTAGCTTTCTTACAATTGGGAAATTGTGTAGCAAGAGACAGTGAAGTAATGGAAAGTAGTAGGATTACTTTTGATCTAATTCTGTCATGTACTGACAAACAACGTTTAAAAACTGTACGCAGAATTACTTAACATTCAAGCCCAAGAACCTTACTTTTTTCCCCCCATTTTAAGATTGCAGGCCACAAATATACTGCCCAGAGATGCTGTTGAAGCAGTCATAGAATTAGATGGCTTCTAAGGCCTTTTCCACTTTGAACGTTGTATGATTCTCTGTTAAGTAATACTTTTATGAAAGTAAATTTATCTTTCCACTCAGGAAATGTCTTCATATCTTGGATTCATTGCCTACTTCTTGAATGGTAACTGAGAGGGGTAGGACATGTTGTGAAAGCAAGTTGAAAACAAGCAAGTTGTGATTCCAGGTCTTTATACTAGAAAAAGCTTTGTACTCACCACCCTGGGATGAAGCTGGGGCCAGAGGAGTCCATTGATAACAGCTAAAATATTTTTAGAGCAGAGTTTTGTCCAGAATGGTAATGGGTTGACTTGGGAGGGAATGAGTGTTCCGT